AATGAACCCAAATGTTTACTACTATTTAGTTGCTTAAACCTTACATTTAATCAAGAGTATTGAATTAACTAATTAAGTTTTCAGATTCATCCCCTTTTCAAAATATTTTATTAAAAGGAACAAAGGTTGGCTTAAAAAGGTCATATTTCCTTCAAAATTGTAGTTAATATTCTTCATGGTGTGATCATTTTGCAGAGTGGTAATGATGTTCTAATTAATTACATTATTGCCTGAAAAGGGGTGGTAATATTTAAGTAAGATAAGATGGCTGATTTTTTTCAAGGTGTTATTAAGCATATTACTTTTTTATAAGCTTTGGAAACATAGTCATAGGCCCAAATTTAAGGGCATAGAAAAATGAAGGAAAAAAAGTTCTTCTGTAAGGTGATGCTTTCAGCTTTTAGGCTGATACTGATACGGTTCTTTAGGATGGCATTAAACAATCCAACTTAATAGATAAACAAGTTTCTTTCCATAGAAGTCATTCCAAAAGCTGCAAAGAGCTGGCATCTCTTTGATAAGTGCTTTGTAAAAATGAGATTTCCCAAAATTATAACTCCCATTTGGCTGATACCCAGTAATATGGAAAATAACAGGACCAGGGCAGGAGAAAATCTCTTCTTCCTCTCTATCATTCCCACGGAGCTGGTATTGAGAAAAGTGTCTGTCCTGAACTTTAGTTAAGGTGATTCACAAATGCGATTTTCTTCTTTCTTAATTCCACATGAACTGCTGGCGTTGATTGGGCCACAGAAAAAGTAAGTGAAGAATTAATTATAAAACAGCTATAAAATAAAATGAGAATACCTTCCTGGCCGTTCGCCTTTGCTTTCCATGGGCTGGGACCTCTTGGGCGAAGGCCGCCTTGGGACAGTTGCCTTTGGCGATTCTGGAAGGAAAAGGAGCCGTTCCAGCTGCAGCTTCCCAGACACGCGCAAACGCACACCGCCTTTCCCCCTCCCCCGGCACCTTCCTCGCCGAAGGAAAACTGCAGAGGGACGGCGTTTTTGCCTCGGCGTTTCCGGCCGCTTGGCTGGGACTTCGGCTTCGGTGAGAACCCGCAAATCTCGCCCATCCAGCGCGGCAGGTTGCACCGGCTGCGAGAGACCTCCTCGAGGCGCGGTGGGCGAGGGCGCATCCTAAATCGCTCCTGCTCCTGCCTGGTTCCGGGGAAGGGGCTGCGAGAGAAGCCCACGCGAAGCCCCGGCTGACCCAGAAGGGCAAAAAGAAAGAGCGCCGAAGACCGCGGAGGAAGAAGCCAAATCAATACTGTACAATCAGACTGTTAGGGAAGGCGCGGAAATTTAAAAATGTTTGGACAGGAAGAGAAAAGGAAAAGAAACCGTAAAGGGGGAGGGACGCAGATGGGGACGGGGACGGGAAGGGGAGCGCGGGGGGGGGGGCGAAGTAACGGTTCTGAAGCCGCCTCTCCCCTCCCACTCGCGGCTTGGCTCTTGGGCGCGGACCCCGCATGGCCCCAGCCTTGGCTTCGGGCGCCGCGGCGGACTGGAACCTCGGACGATTCCCAGCAGGAGAGGCACGAAGCGCCGCGAAGGAAAAGACGCGGCGCAAAGGCCGGGAACAGCTCCGACATTTTGAGCACCTCGCATCAGGGCCACGCTTCTTGCTCCCGGTCCTTAGAAGGAGTGGAGCGGGGGGGGACTCCCTCTTCGCCCCCAGTTTTGACCTGGGTCTGGCTAAATAAAGAGGTAGCCGGCTCAGGATTCACACGGATTCCCAGGGCAGAAAGCCAAATACAGATTTCGACTCCACGGGTGGTGGTGCTTGTTCTGGTGTGCGCGGGAAGCACCTTACCTGCGGCGCAGGGCATCCGGCTGAGTTTGCCGTGGCAGCCAAATTACATCTCCCGCTTCCTTGGAGGGGGATCGCCCAGGTCTAGCAAACACGAGTTAGGTGTCCTGGGTCGCTTTCAAATCCGCCCTCTAACTTTGTACTTCAGCAGCGAGCGCGCCATTGCTAAACCCTTTCGGAATATGGGCGTCAAAGATTCAGGACGCTGGGGACTCATCTACCTCCCTACTTCTTCTCTTCGTCCCCTCCCGTTAGTTTCTTCTAATATATCACCTACCTTCTTCCACGCGGGTGATTTTCAGTGGCACTCACTTCTGACAAGTAAACTGCTCCAGCTCTCCCGATGTTTACTTGGGAATAGCCAGTCTCATTGAGATGGTCCTGGGATCCAAGTCTCCAAGGCGAGGTTTACAGGGGTCAAAGAAAGCTCCCTAAAAGTCAGTGGCACTCCGTTCCTGGTGGTGGGCAACAAGACTGCAGGACTGGCAAATAACAGAACAGAGCTTGGAGGAAACTGGTTATACTGAGCTACCGTCCCCTTTTCTGTTCCCTGAACATGGGCAGAGAGTGCCACCCGTCCCAGAGACCGAAATGAAGTCTTCTTCCAGGTAAATGGAGTCTAGTACGGCTCACCTGCTCCACAGAAGTCATTTTGTCTGAAGATCTTCTCAGTTGACTACAAATGCGACTTGGGTTTACTGAGCCCGAATTTTAAGCCCTTGTAGGCTTTGGAATTTCCACCCATATTTAGTCTTGACCTGCTTCAAAGGTGGGACTAGGTGTAGAGAATCCAAATATTAGTGCTCTGAGATAATAATAAAAATATAACTGTTTGGTTTGGACTCTGGGCAGAAGCTCTAAAGAAGCAGAACATGTCAGATTGAATCCTAATCTCAAATTTGCTTACTGTCCAAATGAAACAATGGGGTAGCTGCCCATCTCTAAGATATTACTCTTTAGCTATGTTGGTGCCAAGTGAAAAATAGTTAAAGGGCATGGATAAATATATGGCTTTTTGAGAAAACTTTGGGTGTGATTGGTTTCCCACCTTCTGCATTATTAATTACTTGTTAATGTTACTTGCTGTTAGGTTGACAACACTAAGAGTTCATATTAACCACATTAACTATGAAAAGGTTTTGAAAAAGAGAAAGAGCATTCCTTCCTCCTTTGGCCTGACACTGGGGAAACCATGCAAGTCATTTCTGAAACCACAGGGTTCAGATGTTTCTTCTGTATTAACAATTTGACTAACTTTTATGAAACCTATTATGAAACTCCATCATCTGCTAAAAGCTTGCCTATATGTTTACTAGCTTTTCAAATATTAAAGCTTTTTTTAAAATTAAACCCCTCATGAGGATGGGAGGGGCAGGTTCACCAGAAAGGAAATATGAGGTTTTGTTTGGTTTTACAGAAAGCAAATTCCTTGGTTTGCTTTTTAATGTCTGGAAAAGGATATGATTGGTTTAGTTTTTAACTGGTCCTTCTGAAATTTTTGTTCAAGAAAGAAAAAGCTTCTACAATGCAGGCTGGGGGTGAAGTTGCCTCATGCAATTTATGAACCCTTTCTTTAAAAATTTTGAGTCAAATTTTCAGATACTGAAAGTGACCAATCTAGCTGGATTGGTCACCCCTCTTGGAAATAATAGTCTAAGACCTGAGTCACATAAAATATCACACTTTCTCAGGTTTTTATCTTCATAGCAGCAGTTGAACTGGGACACACATCCCATCTTACCACACAGTTGAGGCAGAGAATTTTTTGTGGAGGCGAATGGCAATGAATTCTCTCCGTTGCAATAAACTGAAGTTTTTAATCAGTAAACTATCAGGACGAGAGTGAGATTATTCTAAATAATTGATAAAAGGTATAGGTTTTGTAATTTATTCCCATGCAAAATACATCTGTTTAATAGTCAGCTTTTCTACTCAGCAATCCTAGAACTCCAAGTAACAGTGCAATTCTAGCCACGTCTGCTCAGAACTAAGCTCTATTCAGAGTTCAATGCAGTTCAAACCCACATAGATATATAGAAAACTGCAACCTAAAACATTCCAATTTCACATTTTTGCTTTTGAGCCTCTGTACTACACTGTTCTATAGAAATTTATGGACTCTGCAAAAGAGGCTTTGATCAAAAATCCAAAGTCTTAACAACAAAAATAAATGCTTATTCTGGATTAATTCTACTGGAACAAATTTGAGTAAATAGTACTAGTCTGGCAGTTTAATCTGAGAAAAATCTAGAGCATTCCCAAAATCTGATCAAGTCATTAAACATGATCTAATCTTATAAATTACTCTTTTATCTTAAACTTGTGTTTGTGCAAATAGCCAAGAAATCATATTCCCACGCTGTGTGACTTTGGACTTGATACATTCCTTCTTACTCTCATTATTATATGTTATATTGAAGCTTCATTATTCAAACTATCCCAAATTGAGATTTCCTCTCTGTTCAGATACATGTGGTGAATCAACTGAACCTTTGGTCCTAAACATGTTTAACTAGAAGAAAGCCAGATTTCAGGAGAACTTCCTTCAGAAAAAGAGATGTTTAGGAGATAAGGCACGACAATAAAAAAATAGAAGAAAAATAACAACGAAAGCATTTTTAGTGAATGTTCCGTAGACCTTTTGTTAGCTTATCCATCTCATCAAACGTTTGCGATTCAGTTGTCCAAAAGTCTCTCTTTTCCTCCCCCTGCTGCTTCTGGCACAAAAGGTCTTTCACATCTACCCTCCTTCATGCACTGTTTCATATTATGTTAACCTCTGTTACGCTAGGGATGGGAAATCACAGTAAGCCTTTATAGAGAGAAAGTTATCAGAAAGCACAAAAAGAGATCTTCGACCTTCCCACCCTCCCCACCCCATCTCGCCTTAAATGAAGGGTGGGCTGAGCAGCAAAAGCAAACTTTTCTTGAAAAAGGAAAAGAAAAAAAAAAAGAAAAAGCATTCATAAGATGCTTCCGAGAAAAGCTGCTACTGGAGTGGTTTGGTTTTTGTTTTTCCCCCCCAAGAGGAAAAAAAAATATCACCCCCATGTCTGCATTGGAAAAAGACCGACCCCCCCACCTACGTGTATACTTCGATTAAGATGAAGAGAGAGAGAGAGAGAGGAAAGCAGAGGCGACAGGTGTACAAGCAGGCATTTTTGGAGTCCGGGGGCAAGGGGTGGCCTTCAGTCCCCGCTGAGGGCGCCCTCCCTCCGCCTGCTGTTCTCCAGCAGCTTGGCGACGGCCTGCCTCTTGTAGAGCTTCGCCAGGTCGTAGGCGGTGGCTCCCTTCTTGTTGCGGTGCTCCACCCGGCTGGCCGTGCGCTCCAGGAGGAAGGCCACGACGGCCAGGTGGCCCTCTCGGGCGGCCAAGTGCAGCGGCAGGTTGCCCTCGTTGTCTTCCACGTTCACGTCCGCTTGGAACTCCAGCAAAGTCTGCAGCGTGTCGAGGAAGCCGGCCCGGGCCGCGTCGTGCAGGACAGCGAAGCCGGTGCGGTCTTTCAGATCCGGGTCGGCGCCTCGCAGCAGCAACTGCCTGGCGATCTCCGGGTTCCCCAGCTTCACCACCTGAAGGCAAGAGAACGAGGAAGAGAAACGCGAGGCAGTGGGCAAACGTGCCCTCTCTCCCCCCAAGGGTTGGGTTCCCACGCGCGACACGCGTCTGTCTCCCCACGCTCTGGCCGGGCCTTACCTGCAGAGCCTTTGCTTGCTTTTGACTACGGAAAGCTCGTGGGAAAGTTCGCGCGGGAGCCTAGAGCCCTAGGAAAGCGGGGTGTCGACGTCTTCGGCACCCCAGGATAGAGAACCCCCGGCTGGTGCCTTTGATTGGAAAGCTTTCTGAGCTGGCATATTTTGGGATGGCACCAGCAGCTGCCTTCTGCGTGGCCATTTCTGGCCACTTGCTTGGTCCTCAGCTTTAATGGTGTCAGAGACACACACACACACACACACCCCTCTCCTACTGCTGCTTTTAAAAGCAGAACTTAAGTCTCTTCTGAGAGATACTGCAATGGAGAAGCTGTAATTGCCAAAACGGTGCTGCTCTGACATCCACCCCACACCACACAGAAACAAATATTGTGAAAATAAATAAACAAATATGATGGGAAACTGTATTTCCTGTTGTGGCATGATAGAAATAAAAAATAAATAAATAAGGAACAGGGTAAGGGGATGAGGTTCTTGGCTAAGGTAATAGATATATAATGATACTGATGGTCTTGTCCTACTTTGATAGAAAGTGGGTTTAAAATCCAAAGAGCCCATTTCCCAATTGTATAAAGGAAGGAGGACCTAAATGACTATTTCTAATTAAAGATGTGTCCACATAAGGTGTGTAAAAAATAAAGTGTCTGCATTGTACCTTATTAGCAAATACACTGCATGTGTGAGAGATAGCTCCACTTCTTCTCTCATTTAAGACTTGACAGTTGCAATTGAGAAGAAAACAAGCACTATCCTAAACAAAAGGGCAGATAGTGGATTTAGAATATAATGTGTTTTGCAATCCTGGATGGATCTAAAATCGGTCTTGGGGAAGGAAGTGCAAGCAAACATGGAAAACTAGTGAAATGAAAGAAGGGGGAAATTGAAGAATGCCACCGTTAAAAACAAAGCTGTGTTACTTCTGCACTTGCAAAGAACTGAAATATAATCCTATTATGGTCACATTGTAGACTAATTGTAGATTACTCAGAGAAAACATTTTAATCAATGAGTATATTTCCTGTGTCCCTTATCTGTGGACTAACCAATCAAATGGATTTATTTAATTAAAAAAATATCTTAGTAAATTCATAGGGTCTTACTTCCAAGGAAGTGTATATGTAGGTTTGCAGTTTTAGTTTCTTTTGGGGTTGTTATGTGAATGCAAATCAATACCTCTAGGTCTATTGCTTATGTTCAGTTTGAGTAGAAAGTTTTTAAAAGCTGTTGGCTTCCCTAAACATTCCCTTTCTGTGTGGATGTTTTGCTATTATCACTTAAACTCACATTTTCTTAAGAATCTTGACTGTTTCTGGTGAAAGAAAAAAAACCACGATATAGTAACTCTATAATTTTTCTTATATTTTCATAGTTAGGATTGCCCATCTCAGAGATTCTTGGACTTTTTTTGCTTTCTGAATATTTTAATCCTTGTGTCTTAAAAGCCACAGCAAATATCACATACTGAAGTTTACACCTTGGTCAAGCTTTGTTAGAGGGAACAGCTAACTTTCAAAGATGAGGTGTTCTTTTGCTTTCAATATTTTTTTCTTCAGTCCTGTTTTACCTACCCATTTATAAAATAACATTGCTGTGTGCCCTTTACATTTTTTTTTCTTGGGAGGAATGCTGTCTTCTGTTTTAGTATACAAAAAGGGAGCAGTTACAGTAAACAAAACTGGAAAATCCATAAAACAAGAGGGAGTTATGTGAGAGAGCATATAAGACTCAGAATGTAGATCAGCAGCCACAAAGATGATAGTTTACTAGGAGATAATCTCTTCCTTGGTAATCCAATCACCTGCCCTCTTGTTTACCAATTTGGAATGCAAATAGTAGGAGTACAGTTAGCTTTTTGGAAACTAACATCGGTCATTATGATAAAACGAACATGTATTCCTTAATCTTTTATGATTTCACCATGTATCTCCTGTCAAATTCATAATTTGGGTAAATACAAAACTCAGGGATCAGGTTCCAAAACTGTGGAAGATAAAAAGTTATCTATACTATACAAACTATGAGAAACGTCTGATTTTAAAGACAGTTTTAGATGTTTCTAAATGTTTTTTTTTTCTGGTGTGGAATTGCTTTAACAAGGGAAGGATACAGATAGCATGCAAAGGCCTAAGCCTAGCTGTTCTTAGCTAGATTGAGAAAGGAGGCCTTCACATAAACACCTGATTTGAAAAAGGAGAAGGGGAAAAGGGGGAAAAAAAGAGAGGAAAAACAAGCAGAGAAGAGACAGAAATAATTTACATGAGTGAGACCATAGAAGCCAATGTGTATTTTCACTTTCTTTGGTAAGCAACATTTCGACTATCAATTCAAGTTCTATCATCCACCCACTAAATCTTTTTGGATTACACATACTGAAAATAAGAAATCAGCCTTTTCTGTTGTGTTTACTTTTATTCAGAAGTGTGTGTGTGTGTGTGTGTGTGTGTGTAGGTTGCCTCAAATTATGGTTAGTGATGAGGCTGCAATGAAAAGTAGGTGGTGGAAAAGACATGCCCCCGGCTGAGTAAACAGAGATCTATCTCTGCTTATCATGAAATGGGGGGGGAAGGGGGGGCAGAATCATTGGTTCTTATTAAACAGTAAGAAAAAGAATTGGCAACCTAGTAAGGAGGTGGAAATTGAGGTGTACTTCTGTTTTTTTTTTTTTACCAAATTCAGCCATTGGTTCCAAACATGACCTACCTGTTATGGTACAGAAAAACCTAAAAGGATTCAAGGCATTTATGCTCCTTGCACACTGGAAAATAATTTAGGATTACTGAGCTGCATTGGAAAAGAACACCAAGAAAGGTCATATTACAGGAGGATTTCTTTCCATTTTAAAGAGGAGATTGGGTTGCCGGGAGTTTTCAGCCCTCGCCCACAGGGATCCCTCTTCCAATATTTCAGAAAGTGGATCCTGTCTGTAGTTGAATCAACAAATTGCTTTTTTTTTTTTTTAAGGAGCCTGCTGAATATTCCGCAATGCTTCCGACCAGATCCACGGTCTTGCATCGGAAAATCCTCCCAGATTTTCACCTACCTTTTTCTTCTGTCTGGTTGGGCACCCTTACCTCTCTCCCCCCCCCCTCCCCATACACACGTAACACTTTCAGCACCGTTATCCAATGTTCTCAAAGGAAAACATCTTTCAGCGGGTGCAGGGTTTTAGTAGCTGGAAGAGCTCCAGCAGCCGCCTGCAAATCTAAACACTGGAAATGGGTGTAGACGACGTTATACCTACGGAAAGGAAATTCTCGCAGCGAAGCGATCCGCCGATATATCAAAAAGCACCCGAAGGATGGTGAATAACAAAGCGTTGGGTTTTCGCGATCCAGCTCGCCACATTGCTTCGCCGCACATCGCAGTTATTCAGGGGCGATAATTGTTGGTTTTTTGTTTTTTTTTGCGGAGGGGGGGGACATGCTGGCCAGAATGTGAGGAAAAAATAAGCCCCAACCGCCCCTTTTTAGTAGTCAGACAACACACGCCCGTCAGATCCCCAAACAGCTATAATCTGGATTTCAAAAATGAGGTGTTTACCGACCTGCTCTGAAACACGACCTAGCCCGGATTGTTCCTTTCCCTCCCCCCCTCTTGCCTCCGCCACTTGCTTCCCTGTCTCAGAATTTATTTATTATTATTTTTTTTTTTTAAAAAAAAAGACGAGGTGTCTTGCAGGCGAGGTTTATCCCGAGATTAGAGCAACGTTAAAAAAACAGGTTTTGCTTCAAGTACGTCACTTGAAGGAGTTGGAGCCGTGAAACTTCTAAAATATGGCAACCAACTCGGCTTTTTTAAAAAATGCTGATTTTTTTTTTCCCTTCCTCCCCTTTTAAAAACGGTCCTTCCCCCCCCCCCCCCCGTCAAACCAGTTCACCTAGTGGCGAACGGTCGCCTCTGTCCGCCCAGATACCAACCTGCAGCGCAGTTCTCCCAAATCCGTTTTGTGCATTGACGTTTATATTATTTTCCAACAAATTAGTAACTTGCGCTAGGTCCCCTCGGGCAGCTGCGGACGCCAACTCATTCGCCAAAGGTTCGGCCATTCCTTAGGGCGAGTGACGGTCGCCAACGAGCGGAAAACCTGGGCTCGTATTTGATGATCTTAAATGGTTGTTTTTAGCCGGGCATGGCCATCGGAAACTGACAGGAGCGGGGATGTTAATCTTCTGGAGTAGACCTTCTTGTAGTAAATACTCGTAAAAAAGCTCCTTGCCAGAAGCCCGCCCCTTGGTTCACACGTCATACATACTGCTGCACCTCTAACGCGCACAACACCCGCCCCCCGCCGGACCTTGGCCGGGGCGCATAAATTGATTCAAGCCCTTCGGCGAGCAGATCGGACCCACTCGGGGGAAAAACCCAAGCCCAGTAAGGAAAGGGAGATGGAGAAAGTAAAGAACAAGGTGGAAGCAGAGAGGTGGAAAGCAGAAGAAGCGGAAGGGCACAACCCACCAGTTCTGTCCAGCCGAGACCCGGGCCGGGCTTCTTGGAAAGTCGCGGGTTCCGTTGCCGAGGTTGTGGGTCGGGGCGTCGCTCCTCCAGTCCGTTCTTCGCCCCCGACTAGCAGCCCCCCTGGACCGCCAACAGGAGGAGCGAGGGGGTTAATCCAGTCTTGGTAGCCGGGGGATTCACCGGTCCCGGCAGGAGAGCAGTTGCCCAGCTCCTCCGGGGGCGCGAGGGGAACTTCGGTGCTTCCATCCCGGGGCGCCGGACGCGCGGCAGACCCAGCAGCCGTAAGGTCGCGGTTGGTTGGGGCGGGTTGGCTGAGCCGGGAAAAACCGGGCACATCAGCACAGGCGAGAGGTCGCCGCATCTTTCGGCGCGCTGGTGGTTTCGGCGCGGCTGCGGCCGCGGCAGCATCGGCTTCAGCTTGGCCGTATCCCCGTTGCTTCCTTTTGGCAGCCGGTTTCCATAGCGAGAGGGGCAGCGGCGGCTGCGCCCGTTTGACAGGAGCCCGAAGGCGCAATCCCAGCCTGGCTAAAAGGCGCCAAAACAACCCTCCGAAGCCGCCGCCTCCGGGGCCGTTCTCCTTTCCGCGCAGAGCTGTCGGCGGCCGGTCCTGCGATCGTGTGTGGAGCTGCCGGTGGCTGAGTCAAGTCCGTTGAATTTTTTTTTTTATTTTAATTTTTTTTGCGGGATGCCGCCTAGAAAGCCGGTTTCTCCTCCTCCTCCTCCTCCTCCTCCAGTCCACGGCGTGCCTTCCTTCCTTCCCCTCCCCAACTTCTCCTCCTCAGCTTTTTTTGAAAAGGAAAAACATTTGAGCGCTCTTTGACTTGAAACACCCGCCCACATTTTAACGGCAGAGATTTAAGGAGGCGCCACGGAGTTCCCGGCAAAAGCAGGAAGGCCTGGGCGGGAGGGCGAGACCAAGCGAATGCTCCGCCTCCTCCTCCTCTTTTCTGCTGGGCTCTGACAATCGGTTCAGGCCGCGGAGCCGCCGCTCGGGGCTAGTAGGCCTTTTCCCCCACGCTGTTACCCGGCCAGGCCTGAAGAGATAAGCTGGGGCGACGAGAGCCCTATATTTGCTATTTTAAGGAGATCGCCCCCCCCCCCACACCTCCGTTCGTTAACATTAGCCTCTTTCCAATATAGCCCGAGAGGCTATCGGCGCCCCCTCCCCCGCTAAACCTTCCACTGCCACCTCCTGGGCGCCCTCTACAATTGTGATATTCGCAGAGCTCCTCGTGCTCCCTTGGTACAAGACGAGCCTAGACGCACGGCACGTTTTACTACTCCGTAGTGTGGGCGCCCGTGTGAAATGCGGTTATCTTTGTTGACGCCAGCTCTGCGGGCACCGCAGGGAGAGTAAAGGAGGCGGGCCGAAAGTTAAGGCTACGTGTAGGGACTGTGCCCTCTCGTGCATCAGTGATCTCTCTCCCCGGAGTGGCATATAGCTCGTTCATCGGAGCTTCTAGGCTTCCTCGGCTCCTCTTGCCCACCTCGACCCTGGATCTGTTTGCGCCCCCCCCCCCCGGAGCACAACGCATCAGATTGGCAGAAAGGTTAGGTAGCCAAAAGAGAGGCTTGGCTGCAGGTTTCCTTTCTCTGGGTCTGGTTACTAAGGAGACAGCCCAGACAAGGTCACGCTGAAGGGTCAATGTCAGCTTGCTGCAACTGTAGCAAATGAAAAACTTTTTTCTCTCCACCCCCCCACCCATCCCATTGCACTTATTTTTACCGCACCTTGGGGAAAATGGGAGAAAGATTGTTGTGACATTTTAAAACGTCACCAAGGCAAAAATCGGGAGCATAAATACTATTGTGCACAGGATCTAGTATTATATTCTTAACATGTTGAAGAGCTGACATGAAACAAATGAGTGAACACTAGAGTCCATCCGTAAAGTCTGAACAGATTTTCCTTTCAGGAAAATGTCTGGTGTCAGTAAACTTAAACCATATCTATTTTATATCGTAAGAATAAATCAACAACTTAACATACTGAATTACTGTGTCCTTGGATTCACCTGTCTAAGATGCAGCATGCTTTGTTTGATTTGGATTAATGGATCACATGAACATCGCTGGTGGTTTGTCAATCACAATTGTGGTTTAATATTTAAAACCCAAACCAGCTAATAATGATTTATCCAACCATGCATATTGGGCTAGATAAGAAAAATAGATTATGAGAAATTTGCAATTGCTTTTCTTATCTAGCCCATTTTTTGTTTTGTTTTTGTATGTGAATGAGATGGGTGGGTCAAAACTAAACTGCAAGACAGGGCAAGAGTGAGCATATTTTTAAAATATATATTTATTTTTATCCCACTTTATTATTGTTTGTAAAGAACTCAAGGTTGCAAACATACCTAATACTCCTTCCTCTTCCTATTTCCCCCCCACAACAACACTTTGAGGTGAGTTGGTCAAGAGAGAAAGTGATTGGCCTAAAGTCACCTAGCCGGTTTTTCATGCTTAAGTGGTACTAGGATGATATGACTACAATTTGTGATTTTAGTGCCAACCTCTCTATTGACTCTGGTTGTTGGAAGCTAGCTGGGAAGGATGAAAATTGTGATCACATGATTGCAGGACACTGTGATGATTGTAAGTGCAAGGACCAATCATAACATTACTTTTTCAGCACTGCTGTAACTTTGAACACTTGCTGAACAGGACAGAATTTAAGTAAGGACCACCTGTGTTCTGTAAATATCAGTAGCTGTTTCACGAATCACAAGGTATAATTGTCACAGCTAATTTCACACATTGTACTGTGCCAGGGCTATTCACTATGGTTTATTAAACAGTGGCCTGTTCAGTGGTGTAGATCAAATATCACAATGATGTCAAAATCATTATGTGCATAAAGATATTATGTCACAAGTTCTGATGCAAGTATATAAGTAATGACATATGTCTGATTATGCAATCACATGCATATTGTCATTTGTTCCCTTTGCTTATACCATGGTCATGTTAGTGGCTGAATCACAGAGGTTGTTTTAAAAAAATACATTCATTTCTCAGTTTAACTAACAGAATTGGCTGACAGACCAAACAGTGATATTCTACTGTAAGAGCAAATTGAATTCCCTTCAGTAAGTTACAGTGCCACATTTTAGTAGAATCTCTTGAATATCCACTCATATAACATAGTTTGCTAATACTAGAACTGCAAAAAAAATGTTTGTATGGTGTCCACACCCCAGCTGCTTTAATCAAAATGACGAAGGCTGCATTGTACTATAAGCTCCACATTTTTTATCATATTCTATGTTACATCACAACATGCATATACAAAAGGCAAGGCCTGCAATGTGACAGTGCAATGCTGTTTTTCTTGGATTGACTAGTTTGCACCTGCAAACAGAATAACAGAGTTGGAAGGGACCGTGGAGGTCTTCTAATCCAACCAATATAATAGTAGCAACATAGCTGGGATCAGGAGTTTTGTATGTCTGATTTAGTTGCATTAGGGCTCCTTTTCAGTACTTGTGGTCTTTGTTCTCACAATGTGATAAAACAGGAGAGAATTATGGTAGATTGAATTAACTCGATTGCCTGGATTCCCATAATAAACTAACCCATGAACTATCAAACTGGCCAAGTTTACACAGTACACAGCTTTAAATTAGCCAACCACATTTTAGCACATGTAACAGATCATGTGCACTTAATATTGCATCAAATTTGAGAGGAATTTTGCTGATCCTTGCCACCAACTCCATCTCTGAGGCAAAATATTATATTTTTAATCAAAGTAGAATCTCAGCAGGTGCAGCATCTTGCTGACCTTCTCTAGGTTTGGAAGTAAAGCAGGGTCAGGACTAATTAATACTTGGATCAGAAACCAGCAACCAGCTCCAGTACTCTAGTCAGATAAATTAAAAAAAAATATCCAGGAAGAAAGCGGGGACAAACTACCTCCTTACAGTTGCCAAAAAATGGCATATTAGTTATATCAAATGTCATCAGGATATAAGCTTCATTCAATGGAATCTTTGACTTTTATCAGGAATAAATAAATTGATTATAGCAAATTCTTGAGATAATAGGAAGTTGTGTTATAGGGACAAGGAATGGTGTTCAACAGTGCTTATCAATAGATCATATCTAGATAGGTGTGTTATACAGTATAATATAGTTTATTAACCAGAAGTCACTATTTCTTGGTCTTATCTGGGACCAGGCAGTCTTAATATGTTTCTTTTTGATGGGGAGTGGGTTGTGTGTTATATATTTATCTTCCATCAGTTTCTCTTTCCATTCCTAGTCTAGTGAGATAATCTCCTCCTGTTCTGATTGCAGAGGAATAGACAAATTTCTCCAATAGCAGTCTATTAGTTATTTGTAGTAATGATTTATAATGAAACAATGATACATAATATTAATATTTTTCAAACATAATGTAAATCAGCGGTTCTCAACCTATGGGTCGCGACCCCATTTGGGGTCGATCGACCATTTCACAGGGGTCGCGAAGCAAGGCTGTCCACCATTTTTTCCCCCTTTTCCGGCGGGTGCCTTACCTCCCTTGAGCTGGGCCAGCTGGTGGTCGGCCTGCTCCGTCTCTGCCGCTTGCCAGTTACACCTCGGCCGGCACAGGGGGCAGAACCACGCATGCGCGGTGCTCCCAGGCAGGGAAAGTCCTCGACGTACGACCGGTTGGGTAGTCCTCAACTTACGACCGGTTTAGTCC